GCCAGCAGTGCTGGGGGTCAGGGCCAACCCGGCCAGCAGTGCTGGGGGTCAGGGCCAACCCGGCCAGCAGTGCTGGGGGTCAGGGCCAACCCGGCTTCCCACGGCCCCTCTCCCAGGACACGGGGCCCTCTGACCACTAGAGGGGGCTGTGCACCGCTGTGCCTCCCGAGAGGGGCAGAGGGGGAAGAGCCCAGTCAACTCTGGGCAAACCTGGGTGAGGTGTGAGCATCCTCAACACCAGACCCTTCCCTCCACCCCTGTGCACCACGACAGGGTGTCCCAACCCAGTCAGCCACCCTGCCGTGGCCTCGTGGCGCGTGCCCCATTGCAGTAGGACCCGCACGCCCGTCCCTGTGCGGTAAGGGTCCAGCAGCCCTGGGCCCCTGCAGCACGCCTGTGGCCCTCCCCGGGGTGCCAGCTCAGCCGCCGTCTGCTCTGCAGCCACGGGGGGGGGGGCCTTGGTTCATCCCCGCCTGCCCGCTGGGGTCGGACTCCGCTTCTGCTGGCATTGAAGGTGTCCCAGCACCCCCTGCGGGGCCACCCTGACCTCCCCAGAGCCTCTCAGCCGCTCACAGCCCTCAAGTCCAGGCTGCTCCCCAGTGCTATCAGCACTTTCGGGGAACGTTCCAGTCTCAGCTCCTGGGGAGCTGCTTGCCTGCTGTCTTGGGAACGCACCGCCGTTATTAGAGCCACGAAAAAGAACCCATTGGCGATGGCTGCCCTGCTGGGAAAGCAGCCCTGGAGTGCCTCTAAGCCGACCCTGCCAACAAACAGCTAAAAGGTCACCTCTCTGACTCCTCCAAAGTTTCCCGACCCGGAAAACTGCTGGTCACACCCTGGGTTTCCACACCAGAATTCCTCCACTGACCGGCCACCCTGAGGCCCGGGACCCCTCCACTGACCAGCCACCCTGAGGCCCGGGATCCCTCCACTGACCGGCCACCCTGAGGCCCGGGATCCCTCCACTGACCAGCCACCCTGAGGCCCAGGACCCCTCCACTGACCAGCCACCCTGAGGCCAGGAGGCAGCGTTCCCTCCACTCACACAAAGAGCTTCCTCCCTTCTCCCTAGAAAAAGACATCACTTGTCCTTTTTTTATTTTTGTCCACTCCTGGGGCTTGAACTCAGGGCCTGGGCACTATCCCTGAGCTTCTAGAACTCTACCACTTGAGCCCCAGCGCCACTTCTGGCTTTTTCTGTGAATGTGGTACTGAGGAATGGAACCCAGGGCTCGTGTGTGCTAGGCGAGCACTCTGCCACGGAGCCACCTACCCAGCCCCAAGACCTCAGTTGTAGGAGAGCTGTCTGGCTGGAGGACTGGTGTCCCTCCCAGGCTTTTACCTAAAATAAAAGTCTGCTCTTCTGCTGTTTGCTTTCAGCCCTTTCTCTGTTCTGATACCCTCATTCCTTACAGATACCCCATCCAGCCTTGGCCCCTCAAACTCCTGGGCATGTCTGGCAGCTCTGGTACTCATGTGTAGGTTGGTAGACGGAGGTTTCTGTTCGCTCCTCAGGAGTGATGGCCACACCGGCCCTGTCCACCCGGCCCCTTGAGCCCTGGCAGGCCCCAGCTTCCCGAAGCTCAGGACTGTGGGGACCCTGCAGAGAAGGGGCTCTGGAGTACCTCGGCCCAGGGGTCTAGGAGGTGACAGGTAGAATCTGTAGTTGGAATGGTGCGCAGGCAGGGCCAGGGCCGCAGGAGCAGTTGGCGGCAGCGTGGCCAGGCTGGCCCCACGAGGAAACTTCCCTGGGACTTGGTGACCCCAGGGGAACAGGATTCCTGGTAGCCAAGGACATCTGCACCCACCCTCTCTCTCATGCATCCTCTCTCCCGTGTGTGTGTGTGTGTGTGTGTGTGTGTGTGTGTGTGTGTATTGGTCGTGCACCTGAACTTTGGGCCTGGGCGCTGTCCCTCAGCTCTTCAGCTCTAGGTGAGCACTCTACCACCTTAGCCACAGCGCCACTTCCGGTTTTCTGGTGGTTTATTGGAGATAAGAGTTTCATGGACTTTCCTGCCTGGCCTGGCTTGGAGCCACGAGCCTCAGATCTCAGCCTCCTGAGCAGCTTGGGCGACAGGTGGGGCCACCGGCTCACACCTTGGCTTCCTTTGTCTCTTCCAAGGGTGAATCCCAGGAGGTGCCGGCAGGCAGAAGCCAAGCAGGCAGTTACTCCACCAGCATGCTACGGGGGCGCCGAACCACCCATCCCTGACCACCCTGTCCCCCACCAAGCCGCTCAGCCCCTCCATCCCTGCATCTCCATCTTGGGGCTGGCCGGCAGAGGCTCTGCCTCTGGGGACCTCCTAAGCCAGGGCCTGGGGTCTGCTGATCACCCTTGTGCTGGCCAAAGCCACCCACACCACCCACACAGCCACTCCCTGGAGGCTTGTCTCTCAGAAGAGGCCAGTGCAGCTCCTAACTGAGCCTTCCCTCCCACCCAGCCCCTGCTTCCCACCGAGAGGCTGCTCAGGAATGAACAGGGAAGGGTCTGGGTCCTGGTCCAGCTCTCACTGTGCGGCGGTCAGCTAGGTGTCCGCACAGCTGGGGACGGACAGGAACCTGTCCTGGAGGACAGACCCCGTGGCTGAGACTGGGGGGGGGGAGCGTTTTTGTCAGAGAAGTGGTCTCCGCGTGTAGGCTGAGTGTTGTCTCTTCTAGCAAGGTGAGGGGGTGGAGGTTCGGCGCAAGCTGCGGCCGGAAGTGTTTCTGAGAACAGAGGTGGCGCCCTGTAGACCCTTATCTGGAGCGGAGGCAGCACACACTGGAGGGTCAGGCGGGAAGCTGTGGTTTTCCGGAGAGCTAGAGACGCGCTGCTGAGGGGGGGAAGTTTCCAACCGGTGCGGAGCCGGCCTCGGCCCCGCTGGTCCGTGTCAGGCCGGCCCCGGAGGCCAGGCCTCCCTGCTGCAGCCCCTCCTGCCTCACCCCAGCCTGCACCACCCTCCTAGCTCAGCTCAGCCATTCCCACGCACTCGCACTCCTGGTCTCCTGGGAGTCTTCCACAGCCCTCGAGGAGGCCCTGTGTCCACCGTCCACCCGCAGCTTCAGATGCGGCCCCAGGGCCCTGTGAAGGTCAGGCCCCCTGCTGGCCTGCACAGCTATCTCAGCCCTGCTAGCGGACCCAAGCCAAACAGGGGTTTCCAAAGCCGACAGGGCTGAGGGGCCTGGAGAAGCCAGGCCAGTGGGTGGAGGAGACCCCAGATCCCTGCCCAGCCCAAGCCCGTGCTGTGCGTGCCCCTATGCGGAATCCCCCAACCGTCCGGCGTCGGCTCAGCGCCCGCGCCGACTCCCTCCGGCAGCCCACCAGGAATTTCCAGCTTACTCAGCCTGCGTCACCGGCGGGCCTCAGCACTTCCTGGGGAGGCCCCCACCGCAGCCTCCTGCAGGGAGGGCAAGGAAGGGCTCAGGGCCTGGCAGGGGTGCAGCGGGCGGGCCCAGAAACACCCCAGCGCTCCTGCCCAGCCTCTGCTGCACCCCCACGACGCTGGCTGTGTTCCCCTGACCCAGAAGCTCCCGGCAGCAGCACAGAAAAGACCAAGTGCTCCATGTGCCACCGAAGCCGGCAGCTGGATGAGGCCTTCTGCTCTTCCGCATGTCCCAGCCCTCTGAGTTCTGGATCCCCACATCTCCACCCACATCAAAATAGACAAGCCTCACCCGAGGTGCGAATGTGCTCCCCTCCTCTATCTGCTGGGCGGGGCCCAGAGCCCCCGGCCCCTGGAGCCACAGGACGTGACTGCAGCTGAGTCAGGAGTGCTGGGGGCAGAGCCAGCTGAGCGGCCAGGGCGTGGCCACCTTGGAGGGCGCGGCCCTGACGGGTCCTTGCTGGCCTGCCACTCCCTGGACACCAGTGCCAAGGTGTCCCTATCAGATTTCTCCAGTAGCTGCCAGAAAGCAGGAGGGTGCTTGGCTGGGGAGGACCCCAGAGCCATGCCCTGGAGAGTAGGATCTGGGAGGAGAGAGGGCTCAGGGCCAGAGCCAAGCCCTGGAGAGACTGCTTCCCTTGTCTGAAGCGCTGGGTGTAACCTGACAGAGCTCTGAGCTCGGGGCGGTGAGGCCTGGAAAGATAGCCCGAAGTACAGCCATAAACCAATCTCCACAGCCCTCTGGGTCTCAGTGGACACCACTGCCCAGAACGGATGGACACGTGGATAGCAGACCCGGAGTGCCAGCAGCCAGGGTCCACTCCTCACAGCAGCTGACTCAGCCAGTGGTCCAGCGACTGTCCGGTGTCCAACTAGAGTGGCTCCAACCCGAGCCTCCTGTCCTTACCTGAGCCGAGAAGCAGGCCTCAGCGGTTCCCTCCCCTGGGCGCCCTGGGAGGATCCTGGAAGCCCAGCCCTGCGGTGCCCTGCGCCCTTGTACAGCCAATCAGGTTAGGAAGAAGTGTTTATTGAAAACCGCCGGTGCTGAGCACTGCACCGCACAGGAGCCCAGGGATCCACTAAGGAAGCTCAGCCTTCGCTGTCTGCCTGGTCCATAAGCCCGGCCACGCCCACTGCACCCCTCCATGGTCTTGGGACGCGTCACTGTCAGAATCCCATACCCACTCCCCGACACGGGGGGCAGGGCTGGGCCCAAAGCAAGACAGGGAGCAGAGCCCCCGCTCCCAGAGGTCAGCCAGGCAGGCGGTGTGGGGCATGGGGCCGCCGGCCCTCACACCCAGCCGGCCCCCAGGGGGCCCTTCTCCTCCAGCCGCTCTCCTCGCTCCTCCTCAGGGAACTGGCAGCTGTAGGCATCCTCCGCCGCCGGTGGCAGTGGTACCTCCAGGAGGGGCTGGGTCTCTGCAAGGGGCTCTGGTCAGCGGCTCTCCTGGGGCCCGCCAGCCCTCCCCCAAGGCACAACTGACCTCGGGTCCGCGTGCGCTGCCCCTGCAGCTGCCAGACGTGCAGGCTGAGCTGGGCTGTGTTGAGGAGCAGGACACAGACGGCCACCGCGAAGATGACGACCAGCTGGCCCCGCGACTCAGCCGGCGGCGGTCCCGGCACACACACGGCATTGTGGGTCTTGTTCCCAGGGAACGCGGTAGTGAAGCCAGACTCCGCGCAGCTGCAGTCCGGGGAAGACGGACTGAGATGCTATTAGCCTGCGCCACCAAGCAGCCCCACTGAGCGGACCTCTGTCCGTCCTCTGAGCCACTTGTGGGCCAACACCCTGGCCATGCGGGACAGGCTCCCCCAGAGTGGGCCTAGCCCAGCCGGCCAGGCCCCCTCCCATACTCACTCTGCCCAGGGCCTGCAGCGGCCCTCACGGCCTGCAGAGAAGGTGCCCGCAGCACAGTCAATGCACTCAAAGCCAAACTTGAAAGTCCCTAGGACAGACGGACACCGTAGGAGCACTGTAGGAGAGCAGGTCTGCCCCACGCCTCACCCACAGGAGATTCCTGATGCCCGTAAGACCAGGGCCTGGGGACAGAGCCCAGTGTGTGTCGGATCCAGAGCCTGTCTGTCTGTCCCTATGCGGATGGACAGAGTGGGTACCTGGGCCACCGTGTGCGGCTCTAAGGGCAGGGCACCCCTAGGCCTTCACGGCCACTGCTGAGCGGACACTACGCCCTCATTCTGCCCGGAGAAGGGGCAAGCCCAGCGCTGCACGCCAGAAGGCGGCCCGGTGTCCGTTCCTCCGGGACCGCGCCCCGTGCGGACGTCCTCGTCCCTGGCTCCCTGGACACCGGGTCCCCCATGTTCCAGCTCGGCTCCGGACCGGCCCTGGGCCTGCGCTCAGCTCCAGACCAGCCCCGGGTCTGCTCCGGGACCCGCAACCCTCAGCGCCTCCACAGACATACCCTGAGGCCGAGCCTCTTGGCCAGGTGGGCACGGGTGGTGCTTGCAGGTGCTGCACTCGGGGTCTTCACAGTGGAATTCCGGCTGCACACACTCACAGTCCCCCTCGGGACAGACCTCCCGTTCTGCACGGCGATACACCGGCTCTCAGCAACCCAGCGAAGCCCTGCCCTCCCGGGCTCCTCCGGCCAGCAAGAGGGATGAGGGGGCCTGGGAAGGTGGCTCCGTGGTGAAGGGCTCGCCTAGCATGCACGAAGCCCTGGGCTCCATTCCTCAGGACCACATATGCAGAAAAAGCCAGAAGTGGTGCTGTGGTAGAGTGCCACCCTTGAGCAAAAGAAGCTCAGGGATGGTGCTCAGGCCCTAGGAGGAGGGGGAGGGAGGAGGAAAAAGAGAAGGGGGAGGGGGGAGAAGGGGGAAGAAGAAGAGGA